ATCTGATTTTACTGAAAGACGGGAAAGAGGTGACATGCAAACTTGGTTTTGGTCTCACCAGGTTGAGATAGAAATGGACAGTAAAGTACACAAAGACCATGAACAATGTGGGGCATGTGTGGTTAATAGGTCAGCCCCTATATCTATCTGTCTTGTTCCTTCAGACTCACTAAAGCAAGCACAATGAGATTTTTAAGGGATTTATGGAAGTTCACTAGGAAAATACTGGCTGCAAGGCCAGATTCTGGCTATGTCTGGGCTTCAGAGGCAGCTGCTAATAAAGCTAAACTGACCTTCATGCTGCCATCTAGCGTTTCCTCACAGACAGAAACAACATCCCAGAAAAGAAACTGCAGCTCCATAATGCTATATTCAGAACAAATCTGATTTATTCCTGCTGAAATACAACGCTGGACAACACACAGGCTGAAGAAGAGGGAATAGGAAAGATTCATAAAGAAGCCACTGTTCAGGGTGAATGTTCAGGGAGACACCTTTTCTTAAAAAAGTTTTAACTATTTCATCCAGGAACAGATAATCATCTCCATGGCAAGATAATTATTCCAAACCAGAATTTTTCCACATTTTTTTCACTCTGTGAAATTAATTACTGTTTGCAAGGTGCAACAGTACACAACAGGGCAAGAATCTCAGCAGAAGCTTGTCTTAACCAAGAAAGACCAGCACAAGATGTTTGTCAAGTTCTTGTCTGTCCTTGCTACACTCATAAAAACCCCTCATAGGATAGTTATTTACAGGCATGAGGTGAAGATTTCCCTTTCAAGTGTACATGATGGCTAACAAAAGTTAACAAGTTATTGTGGGAGAAACATGAAAAAGATTTGACTCTTGGCCCTTTAACACCTTATCCTTGGCTTCAATGAGCTGTAACAGGAAACTTTTCCAACTGTTGCACATCTTGTATTCATGCTGGAACTGTAGAAATCTAACCCTAATAATAACAAGTCAAGAGTTCATGGGCTGGATGATGCATTCACAACATGCTTCTTTTAGGTGTTTCAAGTCAAAGTCCAAAGCAAACCCAAAGTATCCACAATCACTGCTCTCTTTTGGAAACCTTGATTTCTGAGGTTTGTCTCCTGACAACCTGAGCAGGAAAACTGCAAAGAAGGAATGGATACGTGAAAAATGGAAAAAGTCAAACTTAAGAAAACTAGTCAGAGGGAAAGGCACAATCAGCAGCTTTTAAAGGGTACCTGGTGGCGTTGTTTGATATCAGGACTGAATTTATTAATTTGCAGATTTTTTTTCCCATTTCTAATCAAATTCTGATAAGGATTTGAACATTATACTTATGAAATGACTGCATGATCTCAGTGTAGTCAGAACATGGCTGGTTTATGTGAAGAGGAATAGCAGCACAGAAAAGAACAGAACCGAAGTCTTCAAAAAGGAGCAAAAAGGACAGTGTACATCTCTGCTTACAAATTACCTCTCAGGTCAAAACATGGAAGTTGTCTCTTAGGCCTTTCAAAGATTTCGTTCCAGCACAGAAAGTTCTCAGGTGGACAAGAGTGGAGTCCATGTTTCTCATTCATATTATTCCTGTTTTTTTCCGCAAGAGAACTATATCCTGGATCCCAGTCCTACCAAGCAGAGCCTATTGCTGGATTAAGGCATCATTGTTCTTCCTCTCCAGCTCTTGGTACCAGGCTGTTACATACATGTAGGTTATCTCAAGCTTTTTCCTAACACACCAAACAAGGCAACTTTTTAGCAGCTTTTCTCTATGTTTGGTGGACTTTGAATTCAGACCCAATAGAGTTGTATGCTCTGAATACAAGAATTTTCTTTTCCAAAGCTTGTGTTTAATGTTCATTGCTGTGGAAGTTACATTCTCTTTCAGTTCCTTGTTATCCTCCTTTCCATCAAATCATGATGACACTAAGGAAGGATAAGCGAATGAAACAAAAAGACACACTTCCAAAGTGTTCAGAATTTCTGTGGATTACAGAGGAGCAAAAGACTTGCATTCGACAGCTTCATCTCTAAAGAGCCCATCTGAAAATACCGCCGGACAAAGGCTTGAAAAACCAAGAACCTGTGTCTGTAAGCAGACTCTTCAGAATCTTCATCATCTTCTTGCTTCCAAAAGTGGCCACACACTTGCTGGTGTGGGATACAGCGCCCATAGAGCAATCGCCCTTATGGCTCCAAAAACAGCCTCTGCCCCAGCCAGCAGGGAGAGACTGCCACTGTGGCTCACCAAAATCTGAAGTGACATGGGGTACTCCTTTCTAAGTGACCACTGCTTTTACTACGTGGGAAAGTAGATGAGAGTTTTGTGAATACAACATAGGCCAAAGCCACAGCAATCAACACAAAGCTTGTGGGGGGCATGCCATGGTGCCATGGTCTCTGCTCTCCAGTCCTCTACTAACAAGTTACGGTAGACTAATATTTTTGAGCTGTTTTTCTTAATTTTTAAGATTTTTTTTTGTGTAAATGTTGCAAAAGAAAATTTATCATTTCTTAAGGAAAAAATTTCCCCTGCACTCACACAACTTCATTTCTTTCCCTCCTCCTCTTCCAATGGTAGATTAAACATGCCAATGGAGAGCCTGACAGCTTTTGAATTGGGGGATTTTTAAATTTATTTATTTTTTAATCAAGACGTACAAGTTCAGTTGTTCTTTTCTTCTGTTTTGAGGACAGAGGTTTTGCCCATCAGGCAAGCTGCATAAATAGGAAGGACATCAACTTAAAACATCAGTATGTTGTTTGCCTTGTGAGTCACTATAACATTTCTCTAGTACCAGGCATAGCTGCCTCCCGAATAAGCAGAGTTAAAACTTTCCTGTAGGTGTCTAGGACCTCTTGGGCAGAGGGCCGTTCTGCCGGGTCCTTCTTCTTACACGCTGCATGGATATCAAACAGATGCAGTCGTACAATGTCACTTCCTTCAACATGGCCCAAGAAAAAATTGGAGACATCTGGGATTTTCCAGATGTCTGTTTTCTCATCATAAGGAGGCATGAGGTCATCTTCAAATGGCACATCTTCTCCATAGGGCCAACGCTGCTCAGGAGCTACAAACTCACCCCGGAGCTCCCTGTGACCACATTTCACCAGCCTGCCAGCACTCCTGTTCACAAGAGGCAAAGCGTCCAAATCATTCACCAGAACATGAAAGTCACTTGTTAGGAGATATTGGGAGAGAACCTTGTCCAGGTCATTCGAGTCGCACATCACTAAGGTGCCCAGGGGGCTGCTGTGCAGGTACCGAATGACACTCACGTAGTCTATAGCAAGCATTAGTCTGCGATGCCAGGTGTTCATGCCCTTGTATTTAGGAATGTGGAGAGTTTCATTCAGGCCTCTCAGTGAACCAAGAGGATGGTACTCGGTGAGGATTGTGAACTGCTGCTCACAGTAGCCAAGCAGCCGGACAACATGCTTGCTCTGAAGGGCTTTCAGCATCTTCAATCCATGGAGAAAGTCCTCCTTCAGCTCTGAGTTGGTGAGCTGTGAAAGAACCACTTTCTTTTCCTTCCACTCAGAAAGGAAGACCTGAGAAACACAAGAAACACATAAGACATGTGGATATCCTTCTGTGAACTGCTCCCAGTTGCTGCCGACCTCTTCCTGTGACTGGTTAGTCACAATGGCAAATTACAGTCACCAGGCAGAGTTAGCTTTAGGTAGAGCCACGTACCTGTCACAGCAAGCCCTTTCTGATGCCAGTTACATCACAATTTCCTAAGTTTTCTTTGGAATTGACAATGTATATGAATTAAGTTATTTTATATCACCCGAATAGCCAGTCATACTCTGCCATTATTGTACCAATCTGTGATTTTGCTTGTGTAGCTGGATGTCATTTGGTGTCAAAGAAGTGGCCCAGGTCATGCTCTCATACCTACTGTGTTCACCTTATCAGTAGCCATATGGTCCTGGATGCCTACAGTAATTAGCTGCTGAGAGGATAGTCATAACAGCAGTGCTGGCATTAACTAGCCAGCAGATTGTGAGAGCTCCTTTTCTAGAGAAGAGAAGAAAGGAAATCCAAACTCACCTTTTTTACAGCACCTTCGCCAACACACTTGAGTTTCCTGACTTCTGTATTTATGGCCTCGCAGGAAAGCCACGGGGAACAATTCTTCATCGCTCCGAATTTGAAATACCCAAAAGGGCAGATGCCATGGTCCGTTTCGACACGTCCCAGAGAGATGTAAAACTTGTTGAGGTACAGGTAGAGAAGGGCATTAAGGAGCAGGACGGCGGCAAGCAGTAACGCCAGTGAGACGGATGGCACCTCTCTGGGAAGAAACTCCCTCCTAACAAAATGCGGTTTCTTTTCCATGGCCGTGCCTTCCGCATCCTCCGTGAAAGACGGAGGCTAAGCAGGACCCTCTTTCCAGCCCGGGGATGAACGGGCTATATGCCTATACGGCTTTTTCAGCGCCGGCTGCCCAGCCGTCCCGCAGGCACCGCGGTCCGGAGCCGGCAGCCTACGACGAGAGGCCACGCTGGCGGCGGGACGTGTTGAAGACGGCTGCAAGCTCGACGCTCGCCGTGCCGCGTATTCTCCAGTGTTTCCGCGCAGGCTGGCCCAAGCTCCGGGCGGCGGAGGCAGGCACGCCTGACCCCGGAAAACACCGGGAAATGCGGCCGCGCGAGGCGGTGGCGGCGGCGGCCCCGCCCTGGGGCGGAGCGCGGCGCGATGGCGGCAGCGGGGCTGGCGGTCGCGGTGGCAGCGGCGCTGGGCGCGCTGCTGATGGCGCCCGGCCTGTCGCAGCCTGACGGACAGGGCACGTCCGGGCTCCGCGGCGGGGCGGCTGCGGGACGGCGGCGGTCGGGGCGGATGGACCAGGCGCTGCTGCTCATCCGCAACGAGCTGCCCGCCCCGGGCCTGAACCTCGTCGCCCGCTCCGGCTCCTGCCACCAGGTGAGGGGCTGTGCCGGGCGGGGGTCACCCCCCGGCCTCCGCTTCTGACAGCCCGGCCCGCGGCTTCTCCGGCTCTCCCCGTGGCTTCGTCAGGTCGCTTCGCTTCGATTTTACCTTAGAACACCACGCAGGGAACTCCCGCAGCAGGCGATGCTCCAGCCCCGTGGCATTTTTCCTTGTCTTTGCCACCATGCAAGGCAGAACCCCCTTTCACTCTCCTTTGGCACTAATGAGCTCCATTCACCCTCTTCTTCCGCAGTGCTTGTATCAGCTCCTGGCGTTTGTCCCACCAAGCAACGAGAGCCTGAGAAAACCAGGCACGGCGTCGGTGATGGTTGATACCCAGCATCCACTCACCCTGCTTCTCAACAGCTCTGTGGGTGACAGAGATCTCTGCAAGTAGGTGGCCCAGCCCCCAGGGAATAAATATATGGATAGCTCTATCCTATGTTTGTGTTGGTTTGTTGGTGGTTTTATTTTTTTTTTCCCTTGGAGCCATGCACCTCTTCATTGCCTGTTCATCGCCTCCTTTTTCCCAACTGTTTACACTTAGAGCTCAGTCTTCACCCCACTGCTGTAACAGTAATGTACTTTGGAATTGTGCTGAAAGGATCTAAGTGCAAGCAGAAACCAAAACGGTGTTCATTGAGGCAGCATGTGCAAGCACCTGGTTTCTCTTGGAGGGAGTCTCTAGTTCAAGAAGACAGATGATGGCAGTGCATGTGTGATAAAGAATTGGTGTTGGGCCAGGGGAGGGGAACGCTTGGAAGAGCTAGATCACAGTGTTGGTCCAAGTTTTTGACTTGCCTTTCCTAAAGCATTCAGGCTTACAGCCCCACTAAGTGCTGTGGTGTAACTGAATGTACTGGGGGTGGCTCACCAAGTTTTGTTTCCTTTATCATTTGCAGGATTCAATATCACTTTGGAGAGTTTGGCAATTATTCCCTTGTGGTAAAGACCCTAAGTACAAGCACCCAAACTGTTTCTTGTGACCTAATCATCAATGAAGGCCCTGTCAACAGCTACCTTCGTATGTAGAGCTCTGTTTTCCCTTTCATTTTTCAACTCGCATGTCTCCCAGCAGAACCAGCTTCCTAAGAAGCTGGTGCAGCCACTCATGCTGTGCTGAAGAGCTGCCACAGGCTTGCTTCTCTTCTTTCTCAACATCCTTCCCTCCTTATGTTTTATACGCCTGTCTTGAGGCCCTGACCAGGATCAGGCCTCTTAACATGATACACTGCCTGCCCACAACATTTTTGCAGCAGGAATTAGTACAGAAAAATCAGTGGGTACGTGTCTGGAGGGAAATATTAGTTCCCTGCATGTTTATGTATATACACAGAATCCTCCCTCTTCTTCCCTCTATTTTCTCTCACAAAATAGAAAACAATTCACACAGTGTTTGGATTTTTGTTTGTTGTTGTACTTTTTATTTAAAACCTGACATTTTTTCATTTTTGTTAATCTCTTATCCAGGACTGTTTCAAACTCTCGTCTATCTGTTCCATTCTTTTCCTTTACATTGCATTATTCTTCAGTCCTTCCAGTTTCCTAAATAAAGAAAAGTTCTCCATGTTTGCTAACTAGGTGTATTGCCCTTCCCCCATCTTCTTCGTATTGAGGCTGTTTTTAAATCTCTACTTTCTTCTTCAGAATATATCACAGCATATCAGCTCTTCTCTCACTAGTGTTTTGCGATGCAATGTAGTTTTATTTTGCTCTTTTTATGCCGAGATGTGGAGTCACTGAGCTGCACTTTGAAACTAGCCTGCTTTTGTGTTGGGTAGTTTGGGGGTTTTGCTGTGGGTTTTTATTTTCCTCTGGGATGTATATTGCATGGAGAAAGTGCAAGATGATCGGTGAGTTGGGCTTTGTGTCATGTTTTTGTTACGCTTGGCCAAGCCCAGGCCAATGGTTTTGTTAGATCATTTATAGAGTTGTGTTCTTTTTTCATGCAGCTATTCTTTTTGCTTTCCTGGTTTACATGGGGATCCTTGCTATCCTGATTGCTGGGCGCCTTCTAATGAAGTAAGTGAACTTCCTCCTTGCACATGCCAGTTTAAGACTACACATCTCAGTGTGGTAATGCTTTGGAGTCCCACTTGTAGCCCTGCTCGGAGATCAGATCCTGTTAGCAGGTGCCCTGTACACGTTGTGGTACATGTGGCAAGAAATGCAGAGTGGTGCAATTTCACTTGAGGGATATCTTGCAGCCTTGGTAGTTTGTGTGCAAGAACAGCTGATGTTCACTGTAAGCGCACACATGCCCTGCTGCACCCTCATGTCCCTTGTTCCTTGTCTAGCTCTGGATCAGTAATCCAAGGCAGTGGGACCAAAGTGCATGTAACAAATGCAACCTTCTACCCTTTACTGAATGGTGTAACTCATCCTTGCCTATAAGCAACCTGAGAATAAAACCCCCAAACACGAGGGTGTGCCAGTGTATTTCCACAGCTGGACTTAACTGAGATCCTAGGTGTTGGCTGAATCTCAGTATTACCTATGAGAGCTGTAAAAACAAGTAGGAACTGTCCAAATTTCTGTTTTATGCTGCTAAATATCTTCTATTAAAGTGAAATTAACTATAAAGTACTCTTGGCTTTGTTTTGTGTTTTAAACTGTTACTCATTTTCAGAATTGATCCAGTGAGAAACTGGGTTTTCAAGAAACTTAATCCCAGAGCAACTGATCGTATGATTAACTCCGTGAGTGACCACATTTCTATTTAGTTTACATTCTGTAGTGTTTTCATCTCTGAGAAACACACTATGTGGACATCTTGTTTATTACTAATCATCTTCCCCTTGTGTATGTTCCCCTTAGCAAATCTTGTATTAATGTCAGATAGGCAATTTTACGTCAATGGAGAGTGCTAGACTGGAATCCATGCTAAAATCCATGTAAGTGTAGTGGATTCCCTGTAAAGCTCTTGCAAGTTTTGAATATACAGCTTTGTGCCCTCTTTAGTTCCCTTGAAACAAATGTGCTGGTGAAAATACTGCCCCCTTCTGACATAGTCAGTGTAAGGGAAATCACAGCCTTCATGGCTGCCTCCAGCACAGCAGGAGTTGTAGCAAAAAAATGAAGTCAGAATTTCTCTGGCACTCCTAGAACTGGCATTTCTGCGTGATCCTTATTTTGTACTAGAATGAAGACAGTTCATCACAGTCTGGACTTCATATCTTAGAATAAACCTGTCTAGAATCAAAAGACTAAGACTAAGAAGACTGCTTCCAAAGCAGAGCTCTACAGCAGTTCTTGTAGCTCATCTCTATCACTGTGATAGAGTGATGTCTCCTTCTTTATGCTGTTACTGGGTCTGATCAGAGTGGTTTAGGGAACTCAGTTGCAAAGAAGCCACTCCTGTGCTTAAAAAGATTAATTTTCCACTGGTTTAGCTCTCGAAACAGCATCTCCACGGTGTCAGACAAGTGCTGATGGGTTGACGCGGGTCCTGTTTGAGAGTTGGCAACTGGATCTGCTCAGCTCTCTTGTAAAGCAGTGCTCAAAGTGTTGGCAAGTCTCTGGCTGATTCGGAGGGGACCCAGCTCTCAAGCACAGGCTCATTTCACTGCATTGTTGTTTCTAAGTGGTCAAAGGTAGAGTCTGGAGCATCTTCAAACATTATTGCAATGGGATGAAGCCAGGAAGAGGTTAGAAGCAGACAAAAGGAAGACAGGGAGAATAAAGACAGAGTGTATGTGAAAGTTTGCAGTTTTCTATCCTTTGTTCCCTAGCTGCACCAGCTGACTTATTCTTCATGTGTCTGGTTCCCAAAGGAGCTCGGATCCCCGAACACAACAGACTCCATTAACTGTGATCCTACCCCGCAATCGTGGAGCACAGGCTCTCGGCAGCGGCTGCGTTCCCTTGACACCTTCCGAGGGTGAGCATAAGAGCTTGCTCAAAAGCAGCTTTTCCAAGTGGAATGAGATTTTTCCCAGTGACGGTTTGACATTGCATGGCAGTATATAGCAGATGGACAATTCAGGGTGGTCTGTGGAAGTTGATCAAGATTTTAATTCTCAGATATTCCAAAATACTTTGTAATTGATCTAATTGAAGGAAGCATCAGTTGTGGCAGAGGGTGCAAAAGAACAACGTGTTCAGTGTTCATCACCACCCATGATTTTTGAAACATGGCTAACTGGCTGGTAAAGCTGGAAACCATGGAAATCTTGCATTAAAAATAAAAAAAATATCAAATATCAGAGTTAGAAATGCATTGGTGGGAGTAATCATCATTAACTTTGTGTGCATAAATATGCATTTCATCAACATGAGGTACTTTGTGGTTTTGTTGTCTTTGTAGGCTCTCTCTTGTAATTATGGTGTTTGTTAACTATGGAGGAGGAAAATACTGGTTCTTCAAACATGAGAGTTGGAATGGTAAAGTACAATTGAGACAGTTACTCTGGGTTTTAACTGCAGCAGTGTCTAGAAATTATTAGTGTTAGAGCTGCTGCAGCGAGCAGTTGCAGCTGAAGGCTGGGATGCTGTGCTGGTTTGCTTCA